GTCTCAGTCATTCTGGAATATCCAAACGCAGCTTTTAGAAGAAACGTGTTTCTAACTCGCTGAATCTAAACATAGATGCAACTTCCTAAGGTGAAGGAACAAAAAGCAGAGCAGTTTAAAATAGACGTTTCTTCTGTGTTTTAAACGCAGCCATACTGCTAGTTCCTATATGCCTGTATATGGCTGGAAATATCTGTTTCCAGATTCTCGAAAGAAAGGATTTCTGAACTGCTGCCCACACACACATCTGTTTAACTCTGTAAGTTGATGGTACAGCTTGACAACCATTCTGCTAGATCGCTGCATTTTTGTTTTAGAGCAAGATATTTCTCATTACAGCCTATACTCAAATTCACTCTGGAATATCCAAGCGTCGCTTTTAGAAGAAACATGTTTCTAACTCGCTGAATCTAAACATAGATGCAACTTTCTAAGGTGAACGAACACAAAGCAAAGCAATTTGAAATGGATGTTTCTCCTGTGTTTTAAACGCAGTCTTCTGGCTAGTTCTTATATGACTGGAAATATCTGTTTCCAGATTCTCCAAAAAAGGATTTATGAACTGCTGCACAATCACATCAGTGTAACTCTGTAACTTGATTGTACAGCTTGACAAGTATTCTACCAGATGGCTGCGTTTTTGTTTAGTGCAAGATATTTCTCATTACAGCCAATACTCCCATTCACTCAGGAATATACAAACGCAGCTTTTAGAAGAAACGTGTTGCTAACTCGCTGAATCTAAACATAGATGCAACTTTCTAAGGTGAACGAACAGATAGCAGAGCAGTTTGAAATAGAGGTTTCTCCTGTGTTTTAAACTCAGTCTTACAGCTCGTTCTTATAAGCCTGTATAAGGCTGCAAATATCGGTTTCCAGATTCTCCAAAGAAAGGATTTCTGAACTGCTGCACACACACATCAGTTTAACTCTGTAAGTTGATGGTACAGCTTGACAACCATTATGCTAGATAGCTGCGTTTTTGTTTTAGAGCAAGATATTTCTCTTTACAGCCTATAGTCTCATTCACGCTGGAATATCCAAATGCAGCTTTTAGAAGAAACGTGTTTCTATCTCGCTGAATCTAAACATAGATGCAACTACCTAGGGTGAACGAACACAAACAAGAGAAGTTTGAAATAGTCGGTTCTGCTTTGTTTAAAACGCAGTCTTGCTGCTAATTCTTATATGGCTGTATATGGCTGGAAATATCTGTTTCTAGATGCTCCAAAGAATGGATTTCTGAACTGCTGCACACACACATCAGTTTAACTGTCACTTGAATGTACAGCTTGACAACCATTCTGCTAGATAGCTCCGTCAATATTTAAGAGGAAGATATTTCTCTTTACAGCCTATACTCGCATTCACACTGGAATATCCAAACGCAGCTTTTAGAAGAAAGGTGTTTCTAACTCGCTGAATCTAAACATAGAGGAAACTTCCTAAGGTGAACGAACACAAAGCAGAGCAGTTTGAAATAAACTTTTCTCTTATGTTTTAAACGCAGTCTTACTGCTAATTCTTCTATGCCTGCATAAGACTGGAAATATCTGTTTTTAGATTCCCGAAAGAAAGGATATCTGAACTGCTGCACACACACATCAGTTTAACTCTGTAAGTTGATTGTACAGCTTCACAACCATTATGCTACATAGCTGCGATTTTGTATTAGAGCAAGATATTTCTCATTACAGGCTATACTCCCATGCACTCTGGAATACCCAAAGGCAGTTTTTAGAAGGAAAGTATTTCTAACTCTCTGAATTTAAACATAGATGCAACTTCATGAGATGAACGAACACAAAGCAGACAAGTTAGAACTAGACGTTTCTCCTGTGTTTTAAAAGCAGTCTTACTGCTAGTTCTTATATGCCTGTATACAGCTGGAAATATCTGTCTCCAGATTCTCCAAAGAGAGGATTTCTGTACTGTTGCATGCACACATCAGTTTACCTCTGTAAGGTGATTGTACAGCTTGACAACCATTCTCCTAGATCGCTGTGTTTTTGTTTTAGAACAAGATATTTCTCATTACAGACTATACTCCCATTCACTCTGGAATATCCAAACGCAGCTTTCAGAAGAAGCGTGTTTCTAACTTGATGAATCTAAACTTAGATGCAACTTCCTATTGTGAACGAACAATAAGCAGAGCAGTTTGAAATAGACGTTTTTCCTGGGTTTTAAATGCATTCTTACTGCTAGTTCTTTTATGCCTGTATATGGCTGGAAGTATCTTTTTCCAGATTGTGCAAAGAAAGGATTTCTGAACTACTGCACACACACATCAGTTTAACTCTGTAAGTTGATTGTACAGCTTGACAACCATTCTGCTAGATAGCTGCGTTTTTGTTTTAGAGCAAAATGTTTCTCATTATGGCCTTCAGGCTCTTTCACACTGGAATATCCAAACGCAGCTTTTAGAAGAAACGTGTTTCCAACTCGCTGAATTCAACCATAGATGCAACTTCCTACGAACGAACACAAAGCAGAGAGTTTGAAATAGGCATTTCTCCTGTGTTTTAAATGCAGTCTTACTTCTAATTTTTATATGACGGTATAGGGCTGCAAATATCTGTTTCTAGATTCTCCAAAGAAAGGATTTCTGAACTGCTGCACACACACATCAGTTTAACTCTGTAAGTTGACTGTACAGCTCGACAAGCATTCTACTAGATAGCTGCGTTTTTGTTTTAGAGCAAGATATTTCTGAACAGGTTGACAACCATTGTGCTAGATAGATGCGTTTTTGTTTTAGAGCAAGACATTTCTCATTACAGACTATACTCACATTCACTCTGGATTATCCAAACACAGCTTTTAGAAGAAACGTGTTTCTAACTCGCTGAGTCTAAACATAGATGCAACTTCCTAGGGTGAATGAACACAAAGAAGAGAAGTTTGAAATAGGCGGTTCTCCTGTGTTTTAAACGCAGTCTTACAGGTAGTTCTTACATGCCCGTATAGGGCTGGAAGTATCTGTTTCCAGATTCTCCAAAGAAATGATTTCTGAACTGCTGCACACACACATCACTTTCACTCTGTAAGTTGATTGTACAGCTTGACAACCATTCTGCTAGATACATCCGTTTTTGTTTTAGAGCAAGTTACTTCTCATTACAGCCTATCCTCTTATTCACTCTGGAATATCGAAATGCAGCTTTTAGAAGAAACGTGTTTCTAATTTGCTGAATCTAAATATAGGTGCAACTTCCTAGAGTGAACGAACACATAGCAGAGCAGTTTGAAATATACATTTCTCTCAATATAGAGAACTGAATGCTCAACCTCCAACCTATCCAAAGCTCCTTCCTTCCTTCCCTGACTGTCTGGTCCCCAGTGATGCAGGATCTACCTTTACTATTCAGTCCAATTTATGTGGTTCCTACTCGGTCACTGTTGAGTTTATGCAGCATGCCATAAACCATCAAACCACGATAGAATATTGCATGTTGGACATTGTTTGTGATCCTTCCTGATTTCGACATCTAATGTTAACTTTCACAGGGAAATCTAAGGAAACCTTGATATTGCTGCCTGATTATTGCCCTACAGACAAATTGCATGGTGAATATACTTTTCTTTATTACACTGATGTAACAGTTTTGGGTTTTTTTTTAAGTTTTATTA